TAATCACAAACAGCCGCTTATTTAAAAATAAAATTTCTTACTTTACCTTGACGGTGTTTTTGTCCTTCCTGTTTTTGTGATAGTTATCCAAGTATTTGGGTGGACAAATGTGATTCATTCGTTTATTTCTGTTTCAAAACAGCACAGATGGGCCTATCTGACCTCACAGAGGAAACTTTATTTTACTTGAGAAAGATGTTTTAAGATGAACTTATCAAAACAAAAACATCTTCAAACTCTTCAAGGTTTATTTTTAGATGAACAACCTTTAACACTGTTCAGACTTATTTTTTGATACAAGTCGCATGAACAGGCTGAATAAAAGGATTTTTCCCTTTGTTGCATTTAACTATTTCTTCTTTAAAGAAGTGCTGATTCAGAAGAGAATAACTGCATTTGGGAAGATGATGACTTGCTACATTTTTTCTCCAGCAGTAAAAAAGCTCTAAAGCTTCTCTGAGTTTCTCTCCCTCTCAGCCTCTCTCACTCAGCTACTAATGAATGCCCGGTAGGCAGGGCCAGATTAACACTTTGTTGTACCCTGGGCAACAATATTCAAGGGCCCCATCATCACGACCCAAGGATCACCATAATATGGTCACATACAGAATATTTTACTGTAATATGCAGTAAATATACTCAATACTTGAATACCTGATGTCACGTAACCCTCTCAGGGTAACCTTTGACCCACCTCGTGTGGACTGAGCAATGAGGAGAGAGTCTTAACTTGAGGTCCTCTCTTCATTGGTCAGTCTGCATGAGACTGACTCTCAACTGACGTTCAAAGTCATAGGCAGCGAAGCGTCTCTGTGCAGCGCAAAAGCCCGGGTGGACAGTTTGTTTAATTTAGGGTGACCATATTTCCATTTCCAAAAAAGAGGACAGGGGATCTGTGCCTATGATGTCACACTATGGCAACACCACACAAACCATGTTGGGACCCATTTTTTGTAAGAAGTAAATTAATATCAGATTCTGCCAATAAAAGGGCTCGAAAACAATTCATATGTAAATATTTAGCATATTTATTGCAAAATCTAATTTTTCTGCTTTAATGCTGCAACAAGGTTTTATTAATAATAAATTATACCTTTTGTTTTACTACAGCATCGGTACGCTTCCTGTGCACAGATTATTAAGGATGCTTGTTTCAGCTGTGAGATTAGACAATAGGATCAATGAAAAAATAAGCTGTCACACACTCCATGGAAACTTTCAGAGAATCCACAAATAGTGGCTTTCAAATGGTTTTGTTACTTTTAGCAAGTTTAGAAAAGAAGCAGATGAGACAGCATGTCTGATAATTTATTTTTTCATCTGATAATATTAGAACATGTCAGTAATGTCTGAGGGGCTTTTATAAACACTGTATAACTAATACTCCTGGAGAGGGTATGGATTACACAGAGGCTTCTGGGGAGCCCAGTTTTGGGGTGGTGGTGGGTGGTGGTGGTGGGGTGTGTGTGTGTGTGTGTGTGTGTGTGGTGGTGGTGGTGGTGGTGGTGGTGTGGGGGGGGGTCATTTTGCCTTGGCCCCCAAAATGTCTTGAAACGGCCATGGGTGTGTGACTGAGTTTTGAAGGTGATCTGAGCTGTATCAGATGTATATATATTACATGTGTGTAACTTATTGTTTTATACAGGTAAAAACGTGTAGTGGAGATAAATCTACCTACATTTTACTTTTCAACACTTTGTTTAGTTTTTATTTAACTATTTTCCTGTCCTGTCCGTCTCTCATCTTCCTGCATCTCCTCTAAACTCTCCAGAAAAACTGCTGCCTGGATTATTACTTTTTCACCTCATCAGTTACTTTTGAGCAGATCAAAGGGATCTCCTGACCGCAAAGCGGAGTGCGCGATTCGATGCTGCGTCAGTGAGGTGAAATCACCGCAGCACAGGTGATGAGCTCCGCAGCAGAGCGCTTCAGGCACAGATAAGACAGAAAGTAGAAAACATGTGCGAACATGAACGATCGTGTGTTAATTTTAGTTTTTTGGTTGCGCCACTTTGAGAATGGACCGTGCGCTGGAAGCAGCCGCCTGGAGCGCTGCGCAACAACGCGCTGTGCCGCTCTCTGCTCAGAAGAGTCCATAAATGAAGTAATACAGGTAGAAAACTTTTTTCCGGCTCCCCCGGATGTGGGATACAGAGCTCCCCCATAATTCGATCCCTGCTCCTGAATGAAAAGCCGGACATTTTCATCAAAACAAGAACCCCCAGTCTGGACGTCCCAGACAGAGTGAAAAGTGGACACGGTCCATCTCTACTTTTTGTATTGTGTTCTCTCTGTAAACATGCTGTTAACTTGCTTTACACATCTTCTAATTGAAATCTGTCTTTATCATATATATTTAATTTTTTCATAAGTTTGCGTTTGGTGCCCCTCCCCCGGCGTGGTGCCCTACGCGCTATGCGTGGTGTGCGTGTGCGGAGCGCCGGCGCTGCCTCCAGGATCAATTTTGCACAACCAGAGAATTTCTGCACAAACTGTCAGAAACCGTCTCAGGGAAGCTCATCTGCATGCTCGTCGTCCTCATCGGGGTCTGGACCTGACTGTAGTCCGTCGTTGTAACCAACTAGAGTGGGCAAAAATTCACATTCAATGGCGTTTGGCACATTAGAGAGGCATTCAGTTCACAGATGAGCCCCGGTTTTCACTGTTTAGGGAAGATGGCAGACTGTGTGTGTGGCGTCGTGTGGGTGAGCAATTTGCTGATGTCAATGTTGTGGAACAAGAGGCCCATGGTGGCGGTGGGGTACTGGTATGAACAGGCGTATGTTATGGACAACGAACATTGTAACTGAGGTCCGGAGCTTTTAACTCAAGGGGGATCAGAGGTTCCGAGTTTTCCCAGTAATCGCTGGATTGCATGCTCCCAGTCGTGTCAATCATTGTGACCTTGGGCAAGACACTTCACCCACCTTTCTGACTCCTCTGTTCAAGTCGCTTTAAATAAAAACGTCTGCCAAATGCCAAAAGATATCATGGTTCTGAGTTAAGTTAGCCGTTTAGAACATTAGCAACTATTAGCTAACCAGCAGCTTACTATCTACAGGTGACAAGTGCAATTGATTACATGAGTTTTCTTTCATGTTTCAGCCCAACAGAAGTCAGTGAAGTTAAGGAGCATTTTTGATTGCTAACCTAAATTTGAGTGGAGTAACAATGATCTAACTGATCAGGTAGAAGACCGAGGAGGAAAAAGGGGCAGCCAGATAGGAAGACATGAAGAGATTGTCTTAAAAGTAGAAGGAACAGAAGATAACAAGCTGGCTTTTTGTTTTCAGGTGCTTTTCGTGAACTCTAAGGTGCAAATGGAGTATTTTCAAGTGGGAGCCCACCATCACCTCCATCATAACAAAAAACCAGCAGAGGATGCACTTCCTGAGGCAGCTGAAGAAATTCAACAGTACAGTCGATAAGGCAGTTCTACACCACAGTCATCAAGTCCATTCTCACCTCCTCAATCACCGTGTGGTATGCTGGAGCTGAGGTGTCCATCAGGGACAAGAAGAAGCTGCAGCTTGTTGTAGGCACTGCTGAGAAGGTCATTGGCTGCAAACTCCCCTCCATACAGGACCTGTACACCTCCAGGACATTGAGACGTGCAGGTCAGATAACAGCAGACCTGTCTCACCCTGGACACAGTCTCTTCAACTCGCTCCCATCTGGCAGGAGGTTTCGATCCATTCAGACCAGAACCTCTCGACACAAAAACAGTTTCTTCCCCTCTGCTGTTGGACTCATGAACAACAATCGTAGACCTGCCCACTCCAGCTGCTCTGTCACATGACCCTGTGTTGTGTTTGCATCTGAACTGACCCGCTCTGACCAGAACCTACACTGACTTGTAAGTAGCTGCTTCACTAATTATTGTCTCCTTATATTATTATTATTGTTTCATGTGTTTATTTCTTCAATCTATGTTTGCTTATCATTTACCGTAATTTCCAGACTATAGAGCGCACCTCAATATAAGCCACACTGGGCTAAAAGCTGCAGATATCTACTGAAATGAAAACGTAGTTTAACTGAACGTAACTGAACTGATAGTATCAAACAAAACAGAAAAGTTATTGATTAGTTTATTCATCGTCCTCCTGCGCACTCTCCGTGTTGCTGTCATCATCCCGGGGTGAAGCTGGGAAAACGAGCAGCGCCGTTTTACTGTGAAAAAAAATCCTCCTGGGCGCTTTCCGCAGCACTCCTTTAACCATTCCTTCATTAGACTTTCTAGCATCCATCCTTTCTGGTTGACCAAAGCCGCCACCTCATTGTAAGCCGCATGGTTCAAAGCGTGGGAAAAAGTAGCAGCTTATAGTCCGGAAAATACGGTATTATTTCTCGCACCAAGTACTGCAGAAATTTCCTAAAGTTGTGATTCTCGCACATATGGCAATAAAACCCTTCTGATTCTGATTTTAACTGTTTGGTAACTATTGTTGGTGTCTTTCTTTTTTTTTTTTGTCTGATTTTGAAGAGAAGTTGAAAACATGCTTCCTTTTAGCTGCAAAAGAAAAATCTCTTCAAATTTGCTTTTGTTTCAAACTATTGTCTAATTAGCTGACTGTAGGTCAGTCTGGGGTCACATACACACACACACATTTGTCTTTCTATACTTGTGGGGACATGTTAACATCCATTCATTTTAGAGACTGCTTTATGCATAACCCTAACCATCACTGGTTTATCACTAACCTTAACCCCAACTAAAAGTTAACTCACACCATACCTCTAAAACCAAGTATTGGGGGTTTATTCCCACTGTGGGGACCCGCCAAAAGTCCCCACAATATAAATATGTCCTCACCTCACAGGTTAAATGTGAGACATTGTCCCCACAATGTAGTACATACAAGGGACACACACACACACACACACACACACACACACACACACACACACACACACACACACACACACACACACACACACACACACACACACACACACACACACACACACACACACACACAAGCAGGTTCAATTCAAGATGAAATTCATGCACATTTTTATTGAACAGTTATATAAAATACTTCTCATAGTTGCAAGTGCATGCCTCATCTGCCAACAGGTTTGAAGTTAAATTACAAAAGCAAGGCTTCATGTCGTGTAGTGAATTACTTGGGCACTTAAAGCAGTTCTTAAAAAAGACCTAAGTATTTTTCTCTTGTTTCATCTTAAAGTATTGAGCAGTATCAAACCTGTAACTGATATACAAATCAGAGTTCCAAATGATGATAATAATAATAATAATAATAATAATAATAGGAATCAAATTACACTTTTCTGTGGCACATTTACAAAACAAAAACGTATTCACCTGGTATATGACACAAACAGCTAGTCATGCATTTTGGAGTTCCACGTGTAACCACACACCTCACAAGAATTGTCAAACATGCTTAAACTGGACTGTGTGCACTTACAAGCGCAGGTTAAAAACATGAGTCGTCATCCCTCTTAGATCAATAAATGCTTCAATTACAAAAGGAGTTGAAGGCATAGAGCATCATGGTGTTAATTGAAAGTATGCAAGTTTCCAGTATATGTTCACTAAAGCGCAATATATCTCAAAACAGGGCTCCACAGCCAAAAGGTATTCAGATGTTCTCGTTTCTTTGATTTTTATAAAACATGCATAGGCAGACACTTTATTATACTCTTTTTTTTACACAATATAGCTTCTCTATTTTTACTTTGTTCGCAATACTTAAAAAGAGAAAAATTAACACTCAATTCCAGCAAGCCACAATAAATCTACCCCCCCTCCCCATTTCTCAAAAGAGACAAAAAATAAACATATTTGCAAATGATAGATAGGGAAGTGTAAATTCCAGTTATGAAACTCAAGAAAATAGGTATTCATCAGCGAGTTATTTAACCATTATACAGAAATAAATCAGGCCAAAGCACACACCAAAGGAACCTGAGGTAAGCAGAATATGTACAAAACCATAAAACCTTCCATTATTTGGCATTTCCACAACATTCTCTTTAAGACTGCCTAAGTAACGTCAGACCTATTTCATAAGAGTAACAAAATAAAACAAAGTCATCATCAATAAATAGTCCTTATTTAGTTTGTACACCCTTTTATGTTAAAAACATGATCCTTTTAGTGCTGCGTATCTGTAAACGTACAAGAGTTAGTAAGGAGTTTCCGTTTGGGCGTCAATGAGGGAGGGTCTGTTAGGAGAGAGGGAGACAGAGAGAGTGGGAGCGAGAAAGGGAGAGAGAGCTGTGACGTACTATGGGGTGGGGCACTGTCAGACCTATTTAGAGCTCGAGCCGGTCAAAAACAGGGCCTGGCAACTACTTAGATTGGACAAGGAACTAAGATCTTAAAGGCATTTCCAAAGACTAACATGTGAGATGCCCCCCTCCCCCCTCATCCACACTTCAGCCCTTGCCCCTTTCCTGTGGCAAGCCATGATGGGGTGGGGACCAGGCAGCCCTGCCGCCACCGCCGATCTTCACTGGATGCCGCCACCACTGGTGCTGCCCTTGGCGTCCGTGCCGTTGGTCTCCGACGACAGCGCCTTGTTGAACGAGTTGAGGCTGGCATCCATTGGCAAGGCATCCCGCCGCGGAGGCATCCTCTCGTTGATGCGGTCCAGGCCCTTGGCTTCCTCGAAGCTCGTGATCTTGTGCTGAGGCGAGAAGCCTTTGATGGCTGTTGAGAAAGGCGGAAAAACAGAAGTGAGGTCAGGTTTGAGAAGGGAGGGTACTGGTGATAAGGCCCCGTATGCACTACTCCAGATGTTTATTTTTCTCTGTTTCTGAAAGACAAACCTCCTTCTGCAAATGAGGTTCTAACAAACATCCACATCAACTACATATAGCTAATGACACCATAAAAGCAGTTTTCATTTCCTGATGGCTCATTCGCTTACGTTTTCTGGATATCAAGGTTTACCTGAGCCAGGGTGAGGATGTTATCAAACACCTTTAGTGTCTTCTGAATAATGTTCTTTTGGTTGTGTTATTGGATGCTGAAGCCAACCAGCTGCTCCGATGTCAGTTTCTGAAAGCCTGAACAGTTAAGCTTCATAACGACTGTCAAATAAATATTATTTTCCATGAGAAAGAAGCTAGTTTTTGAGCATAATACCAGAACATTCACATCTGAATTCCCAAAATGAACCAGCAAAAGGTTGATTATCTGTTACCAAATGGTTCCTGACAGGTTCAGCACTGTATTATGTGTCATTTAGTCACAGAAAACCACCTAAAATCTATATTATTTTAACCTTATAAAGTATGAAATATAATGGCACTATTCATAGTCTAATGTTAAAATACAAATTTATAACGATAATCTTTTTCTTTTTATGTAATTCTATAACAATATAACAGTATTAAAGAAATAAAATTGGCCCTTGCCACCTGTAGATCCTCCACCACAGGGCAGTAGATATGGATAGGACAAATTAAAGCATAGGTATAATTCCAGATCTTATGTTGAAAATCCAGACATGTTTGAGACAGAGTAGGAACCCCGAATTCAGCACAGTTCTAAAAAAGTTCCTGATTAGAAGAATCTTTTAAATATCAATTATTCCCCCAGAAAAGTGAGTTTGTATATGAAGCAGAGGCTGAAACAGAGCAAAGCGTTTTTGTATAACAGGAGTAGTGCGAACAGGGCCTAAAATAACCCAGATGTGCTTGGCGTTCTTCGTTGGTGGATTAATGAGAACAAACCTGGACAGATTAATGCAGCTGCTGTAACACTAGCCTAAAGAAATCATCAACCCACAAAACTTTCTTCTCCCAAGGAAATATAGGTAGACACATTTCCTTTGCTGAACGCTCTCAGGCCATGGACACAAGTGCTTACATGTGTTGCTGAATCCCATATTGTACAACCTTGATCATTTTAAATGGTTAATTTAAGATGAACAAGTATCTTCTAACAAGAGGATGACCCATTAAGAACCATTTATCCAAGTTTACAGCAGGACAGACAAAAGGATTAAATAATCCCTCTAACTCTATAAAAGGGGCTGCTGGCATCAGGGTCAACAGGCTTTCACTTCACCACCAATCAATGTTTTAGAAAGTCCATCTGTCAAAGGCATCCAATAATACCACACTCTGAAGGGGATGCATTTCTGATATTTAAAGAGGAACGCCTGGAGACCCCAGACATCAAGACGGCCCATTCACATCACAGCTCCAAATGATAAAATAAGGAAGGAGGAGAATGGTAGAAAAAACAAGAGACAAGGACAGAAGAGTGGAGCTCACTGAGACGTTCACGTCCACAAGAGAAGAACCACGTGGAGACTGAGCTCACAGAAACACTGGGTGCTAACCACTTGTTCTGTCTGCTCAGAGCATGCAGCAATCTTGACTTAGCATTTAAGTAAGAGTATCGTTAGTCACCGCAAGTTGGAGTTTAAAGGATCGGACTGAATACGCAATGGGATGTATTCCCATTTTAGGGTTTGATTGAGTTTAGTTACTTCTACTTCACAAATACCCTTAAAGCAGCAATCCGGAGTTTCCACTTTTCAGGAATTATGATAGCCTGACAAGCCATCCTATATATGTGGATATTGTCTGGCAACAAACCATAGACAGATCTCAGTCATGGCGTTGGATCTACGAATGTCTTTTAAACACTCTCCGCATGCTATTGTGCAACAAACTTGACATACTCATTGCTGTGTTATTCCGCCATACACTATCAAAGAATGTGCCACTTTTCTGACTATCCGTGCTTACTCGTCAAATATTCCTAACGCAGCATGTTACGACAATTTTGCTAGTGTTTATAGTATAGTAATATGCTTATTAAGCAAGTTTTATTTGAAATAGGTGATATCACTCAAAAATACAAAACTGTAGTTTAATTATTAGCAACAATATACAGTGTTTGTCGTGATTTCGCAAATGACAGTAAACAAAGGAAGAAATTTCTTGTTTACAGTATAATAACGATAGTCTACAAGCCATTTACAAGCTAACTGACAGGTAAACATACAACAAGCAGTCAACTTCCAGAGGTAGCGTGTCTCTTCAGGTGAACAGCCTGTGACATAGTAATCAGTCTACGCATGCGCGTTTCCCCAAAGTAGCTCATAACGACGAGTAGCACAGATCATCGGAACACCAGCATCATATTTGGTATGCTTTGTTGCATCATCCCACCCTACAAACCAATAAAATGCTGTGATAGGCCCTTCAAACCGATAGAGGGCTGAGACTGGCATAACACGATATTACTCAGACCAATGTTAGACCTGCAGAGGCTCCTATGGTGTGTGGTTAGACTGACCTGCAGAGCAAAAAAAAAAAGATAATTTTTTTTTACTTTTATTAGGGTCTGTCTGTATTTCTGGGATAGAATTATGTATGCTTTTTTTACGGAATCCGTAAAAGTCTTACACCGTACTGTGATATAATGTAGGCAGTGCATTTGTTTTTGCTAAGCCCGCAGCTATTCCATAGAGCCCCATGCAATTTGAATGAGTGCTGCTTAACAATAGCCAATAGCACAGACATACACTTACGTACAAATGCCAATCACAAAGCTAGAGGTACGCATTCATGAATGAAAAACACTGCTTCCAGCAGTAATCACGAAAGTAAGGAGAGCGGTTTAAGATGTATTACATGTTTTCTGCCACTAGATGGTATCCTCTGAGAAAATAAATCCGGATTTCTGCTTTAATGGCCATTTTTTTTGTGCTAAGATGAAAAAAGGTGAAGCAACGTTTTGAGAGGAGGAGGGAGGAGCATGATGGGTAGTATAGTTAGTTGTGTTGCTGCATATCACAAGTCAGACACAGGTTATTAGCAGCTCACAGGAAGGAACACGACACAGCAGGGCCACAGAGGACATGAAGAGGGATGGGGGGAGGGAGAGAGAGAGAGAGAGGGAGAGAGAGGGGAGGGGGTGCAAAGAAGAGTCAGGACACTACAGTGGACTGTCCTCCCTCTGAGTGGTGGAGGAGGACACACCGGACAGTTTAACGTAAATAGCAGCTAGCATACTACTATTTAGCTTGCAGTTGAGGTTGTTCTTGCGCCAAAAGGAAAAGGGGATGGGAAATAAACTTTTTTTTGGGAGAGTCTAATTTGTTTCTCTCCAAATGGAGAACTGGATTCAGATTTAAAGGAATTTAAGGAACAGCAACAACAATACACAACTGCTTGAGTTGTTTCAAAGGGGAAGTAACAGTTTGGGCTCTCATAGCAAGACTTCATGGTGTTGTGTGAGAACAGCACAAGGACTAGCCAGGGAGGTCCAGGGTTGGAATCACTCACCGTCTTATCAGAGTTCCTTCCTCATATTCTAAAGGCCCAGAAAACTAATCTACTTCACTGATTTTCCTTTAGAGCGGCTTCTCAAACTTTTGGCCCATGCTGCTTGTTGCTTGAAGTAGGAGTTGGTTTTTCAAATGTTCGTCTTGAACACCTCCAGTGTTGATCACAAAATTAAACAACAGCAACAAGGTTTTCAGGGGCTTTAAGGATAGTCTGCATCCCAGCCAGCTCCTCTGGGAAGGTTCTGTACAGGTGCCAGACGACCCAGTGGTACCTCTTGTATTTACACCTCCCACATCGCGTGAGTGTGAATGTGTGTTCTTCAAGTGCAAAATCCTTCTTGACAGCTTTTATTGTTAATCTGCATAAATAAATTAAAACACTTTAACTTAAGCTGTTCCTTTCAAATGTAAATCATGGGGCTTATTTTAGTTTTTGGAGAGCTAGATGGCTTTTGCTTTGAACTCACTCAGAAATCACAGCGTGACCCCATGTGATGAAGTCTGTGCTATGAAACGCGTTCCCCTTTAAAACGTGCAACCACAAGATATTCTACATCTGTTTTCTGTTACTACTACGCCACATTTTGTTAGCCCAAACACACTCTATTCAAGCACCAGCAAGATGGATGGAAAATAAAAATAAATCCCAGCCCCCCCGCCCTGTCTATTGCTGTGAACAGCAACAGAAGAGGGCAGCCAAACCCATTTACCTTCATCAGCCTCAATAGCTTCAATAGTAGCTGAAGAGAAGAAGAGGGGGGTTGCAAAATGAATGAGAGAAGTGAGCAAGAGGAGTTTATTCGGTCCCAAGTCAGTGAGCAGCAAGAGATAGCCAATACCCACAACAAAAAGGTCATCTCCACATTTTATGGACAAAAAGAAAAGGAGGATGTTAGCAAAAGAAAGGAAAAGAGATGTTGTGGCAGCAAACCTCTCAGAGTGTAGGGATGAAGCGGTTTTAAACTGTCATGATTACTGAGATTTATCAGGATTACTACTGAGATGCTCATGGTAAAGTTACTTCTATGAACCAGCAATATTACTGGGTTTTATAGGCAAGAATCTGGTGATACCATTTCAGTTCAATTCAATTAGTTTATTTCTATAGCGCCAAATCATGACAAGAGTCATCTCAAGGCACTTCACAAAGTAAACATTCCCATACAGTTCAGCTCCTTAAGCCAATCAGTATAAAGTTTCCTATTTAAGGAACCCAGCAGATCGCATCGAGTCACTGACTAGTGTCAGAGTCATTACAGCAATCCTCATACTAAGCAAGCATGATATTTGTGTCACAATACAGGGGAGATAATACGATATATAGGGAGCCTAAGTCTCCTCCCTTTCCGGTCAGCTCATGGGTCCCCGGAAGAACAAAAAAAATAAATGCAATTCAACGGGGCTAAAAATGCTATTTTCTAATCCCCTTTGCCTTAGGCCCTGGATCACACATATGTTGTACTGCAATTTAAATGAAAAGTGATGATGGGTGTTTCGAGCACGCCGGTCACGTACTTTGAGATTTATCAGCTTGTAAAAGTTTGTAATTCCTATGACTACAGCTTTGGCGTCGGTACGTCGCATTTATGCCTTCGCTACAGACCATACCCTCCCCTCCCCTAGCGTAGCTGCTACTTACCACATGGCCAGATTTATGGTGGTCCGTGTCTGGTTCGATGACGTCAACTTGGTAATGTGCATTTGTAGTACTGGACATCTATTCACACAAAACCTATTATAACTTTTGCCCCTATTCAAAATAAGCTCTTTCTTGGCATCAGAATGTCTTTAAAATTCCCAGACATCATATGTAAAATCCATGGCACATAACAAACGGGTTAGAAAATAGCATTTTTAGCCCCACTGACTTGCATTCATTTTTTCCTTCTTCCGGGAACCCATGGTTCCAAAGTAGATGGGTGTGACTTAGGCTCCCTATAGATGATACTAAATGTCAGAAGAGTTTGGTAATTTTTAAGAAATAAATTAATGGGAAACTCAGGCCAAACACTTCCAAGACACATTCTGTTGTTCCACCAGAATGAAGCCAGTAAGAACTGCCGCCACCTAGAGTTTGAACTGCACCTCACAAGAAAAATACATAAATGTTTGCGTGTAAATTCTCAATAAAAAATGATACACTGCTTTTAATGATCTATTCAATATCATAACACAAAATATCGCAATATTTCACCATATCAATATTTCCTTACATCCCTAGTTGTTAGTATATATTTCTTTAATAAATAGTAGGAGTATATATTTAATGTGATTTATTAAAGTCTGTCAACAGTCAACAGTCATTTAGACTGTTGACTTTTTATGAGCAGACTTAAAATTTTACATCATTTAAAAAACCTTAAACATGTATTTTTCCTTTTCCACTGAAGTACTTATATATGCACAGAATATAATTTTATGGTCAATTTGTGCAGCTATAGAAGATGTTGCCACAGTAACCATTAAACCAAGTAACTGCTTCATTCCTAGTGGAGAGGGCTGCAGTTCTGTTCTTTAAGTCTAACAAGAGAGCGAATGTGAGATGAATCAACATTTATAGCAAATCTGACACAATAATGGTAGAAAAAACTGTTTAAAAGCATCTGTGATGAAAGCAAAGCTGGAAAAGGAATAAATGAGGAACAATATGGTTTTGGAAAATGTGGGTTTTCAAAACTTCTACTCAATGTAAACCACCAGCACTGTGGACACATGGAACATGGTTACTGCTGTGTGCGACATCAATCTTGCACGTTAAGCATCTTTTGATATTAAACATATCAAAAGTGCCGCCTTACTTTGGCTGATTTCTGGGGCGGGGGAGGGAGACCTTTCACACTTACCAAAACCCTGGAGATTCTAGACACACAAACAACCTCCAGAAAACCAGCTTCACACAAAAACTCAGTTGTCGTGACGATACAGAGGACCACATGATACATGGCCACGATGAGAGGGGGGTCACCACAACAGAAACACCTGAGACTTTGAACGGTGTGGCAGATGGAGACTACGTCACGGAGAAAACACACTGATGTTTGTTAAAACAAAAGGAGAAATCTGATTCCACTAAAGTTGCAGCAGTAATCTCAGCCTCCTTCTACTTTCACTGGAGTTAAACCGAGTTAAGAACAAATCCATTTTATTAGCAACAATCTTGAAGAAACGTAATGTCAGACGAGGGACAAAAGATTTGTACAGATGCGCTAAAGCTCCTGGGAAAGATCAGGGGTTCAACAGACATACAAACCATGCTGCTGTATTTAAAGGGGGAAGGTTGCTTTATTTGAACTGTTTTCATTTGTTTCCCCAAAGGTGCAGAGTTTTACCTGTCATATCAGACTGGCTGCTGGCCAGTGCATCATCTAAAGGTGTTAACCTGCCACTCAAGACGCGTACCTAAAGAGACATTATCGTTCCTCTCTCTGCTCACAGGGTCTAAAAACATCAGGACCAAGGTTCCAGGGTACACATGAGACAGCTCAAGCTTTTAAATGTGTAGGGCTACTCTGACAGAGACACATAAGGTGTAGAGACGTTTTTTTCCCTTTTTTTGCACTTAATAAACCAGCTCTCCTGCTTTTCATTCATGTATTTCAATAATAACAAAATTTAAGACTTCACCAATATAGTACTTTCTAAGGGTCTTAAGTTTCCTTAAATCAATTGATCAAATTTGAATAGTTTAAGACCCTGCAGATACCCTGGTTTTTAATTATTGTAGGTAAAGAGAGTCAGAACAGTGCACAGAGCTGCTTTCACTTAACTGGATTAATAAAAGAGTGTTTGAAACACAGTAAATAAACTAAACTTAATAATTAAAGTTAAGCGTCCCTAACCAGGAAGTTTGACTGCCTAAGAAGCAAATTTAAGAAAAAATAAATGTTCAAAATGTAATCATAATGTTTGAAACTTTTATTGTTGATTGATCTAAGAAGTCAAGCATGAAGAGGCATGTGATGTATACCCTGGAAAATGGAAGCTGATGTTGTTCAAGAACCGTGAGAAGAACTGGATCTGGACTTCTAGTTTTCACAACCAGCTTCCTAAATCAGATAAGATGGCAAACCAGACGTGAAATGCTCCTGGAAAGGTCTGCAGCAGCTTGTCAAACTCACTCAGGGAGTTTTTGGAATCAAGAGGGTGAGCTGAACGATAAAAAAATAATCACACAAAAAAAGAAAACGATTTACTGTGGCTAAATAAAAAGATAAAAGAGAATACTTGCACAACAATCGATTATACCTGCAGTTTCTAGAAAGAGAGGAGAAAGAAAAAGACATTTGAGATAAAAACCCAGTGGATTTCAGCAAACAGAGACTGGAAAACACAAGCAGGACGATAAGAGAAGAGAGGACACAGTCAAGAAGACAAGGAGGATGAAGGAAATCTGCTAAGTGTGTTTAGCATTGATGGGGAAATCTAAAAAGCATCACATCAGACACTGAGGATACTGTGTGTGTGTGTGTGTGTGTGTGTGTGTGTGTGTGTGTGTGTGTGTGTGTGTGTGTGTGCGTGCATGTGTGTGTGTGTGTGTGTGTGTGAAGTTTGGACCATCCTGGAGGGAGGGGGAGACAGGATGGGGGTTGGGGGTGTGTGTGATCTTACCATTCTGAAGCTTTTCTTTGCCGCCGGACAACACTCCGCTTGGTAGCATGCCTGTCGGGGTCAGTCCCTTCAGCGTCAACACACTCTCACTCTCCTCTCTGTAACACACACACACACACACACACACACGCACGCACGCACGCACGCACGCACGCACGCACGCACGCACGCACGCACGCACGCACACACACACACACACACACACACACACACACACACACACACACACGCGCGCACACACACACACACTTATTTAATCTACTGTTTTTACTCTAAATGCTCTGACAGGTTTAAAGGTAAAGGTTAGCTTAGAGCTCAGAGAGCAGCAGCAGATTTACGACAGGAAAACGCCGCCTTTGTTTAGTAGCTTTCCTCCTCATAACTGATGTTGACAGTGGCATAACAAAACACCTCAACTAATTTTCTCAACCATTACTGCAGGGAAGCACGGTCCAAACCTGGCCTTGAAAGCTGGATGTGTTCATAATCCTTCAGCTCTGCAGCAGTTTAAGACTCTGGAATATTCCTTAAAACGACGGCTGAAATAGAAACGCTCTATAATTTGACACATGTTCACCTCACCTGTTTCCCATACCATTATAGTAGGATCACAGTTAGGAAATCTTTTCTCACCAATACGTTTTACTTTGAATTAGGTTTTCTGGTCACGTCAAACCCAAAATATACAGGATTCCCATTTAAATAAGACTATACGAACAGATTTACAGGTCCCAGCCATGCTGGCAAAAAACAACTTGGATTTGGAATCTTACCCCTTCTTTCCTCTGGACCTGAAAGCGGCGCATAATATATTAGAGGCGTTTTACCCACAAGCTCATTCCCAACCGGAAGTGTTTCAGATGTGAAACGGGAGTGAAGCGTTCTACGCCACTGCTCCCGCAAAGTCACAAAATCACAGGAGAATTGCAACACCACACATGGTTTCAAAAGTCCACACAATAACAACCAAGGAGGAAGATGGCTGCATGCAAAAATGCCTGTGGCTTATTTTCTGGTCTGTTTACCTCAGCTATTGGGGTTTTACCAGGAAATGACGACTTTTACCTGCACGTGACTTTTAGTTTGAAAATTTATGGATGTTTCATACTGCTTTTGTGTTTGACTTTCTGTCTGGCTCATTCTAAGCTGGGGAGCTTGACGTGTTTTTGAAGCGTAGTGAGTAAAAAATAGACTTGAAACAAAATGATAGGGTTCCTTCGCTTCTGGGACGCGTCCAAAAGGTTACACTTTGCTGCCGGCGGAAGTGAACTCATCCAATATAACGGTAGCTAATTGCTGCGTAGCACATTTCACATCCGGTGTAAATAAGGGGTCACTAATTAATAGTCATGATATGCAACCATCTAGCTTCTGATTGGCTAACAGCAATGTGACTTTTCAGCTGCCTTTATTCGCTCTTCTTCTTGGGTAAAAAATGCAACATTGATTTTTTTATCTCCAAAAATAACATTTGCTCCAATGTGTTCCGTTATGAAGTGGAGTTGCTAATGCTAACAGTTAGCATATGCTAGCCGAGACATGTGAATGAGGTCATGGCTGCTAATTTTCACTGTGACTCAGAGAACGAGACTTTTAACCCTCCCACTGTCTTCATGGGTGACCCCGTGAGGAAAGTTGACCATTGAGCAGGATTGATGGTTTATCCCTTGAGGTCCATGTGGCAGGGGTGAGGTGGTGCTCACTCCTCACCCCTGCCACATGGACCCAAGGGATAAGCCATCAACCCTGCTCAATGGTCAACTTCCCTTGCAGGGTCACACCCATTAGGATAGTGGAAGGGTTAAAACTTCTTAGACCAAATCCACTAGCATAATAAAGAACAAACATAGCGAGAAAAACTCCTACGGGAGCCTGGAGGTGCAAACAGGGAGTCAAATTGCATTAAAAAATGTGTTTTCAGTAGTGTTTATTGTAACAAAACTGTGTGGAAAAATAAAACAGGACACAAAAGAGGGTCAAAATTAAAATAACAGGGGTGCATTTTAACGGGTGTCACATGCCACTGGTCTGTGGCACTTATTTTAGTGTTTGGTGCCAACAGAAAAAAAAAGTGTAAATGAAGATGTTTTACATTACCTGAGCACTGAGAATACCCTGGCCATCTTCCCAATGGCACGGATCTTGTTACGGATTACTTCTTTACGAGCAGAGGCTGTGGCACCTAAAGGGGTCAGAGGTCAGAAACCATCACACTCAACTCAAGTTCATCACTAGCTAAATATATACTGTTATAGTGTATGAGTGCTAAATGACTGGAAGCTCGTTTCAGCATCTAATTGCCATCAGATTGTGTTGACCATTAGTTCTTACACAATAAAAACACAATGTTGTTAATGGAGGTTCAAATTACAGATTACAGAAAACCTTTCCATCAAAAACACGTCACTTCATCTGAGAGCTTCTCAGCAGTTGGTACATCCATGCCAACACATCTCTGTTACACCTCTTTAACTTTAGCGTCTGATTGTACCCAGATATTACTCAGACAGTTGATACTGTTAGTGGAGATCATCTGGAAAGGACATTGTCCAAACTTGTCCCATCAACATGTTTGATCAATCACATGCCATCCCACAACCAGTGGTGTCCAACCCTGGTCCTTGAGGACCACTATCCATTACGTTCTGGGCCATGTACACATGTAGCTGGGTTTTAGTACCCCCCCCAATCCCATCTAGGAAAAAACTTTGATCCAAATCACCTTGTTTTCAGCAAAGAATCAAGTGCATTGTGGGGCACACTGATAGTTGATGCCAAGCCTGTGGGCAGCAGTAGTTCCCCAAATCGTCAGCGACTTTTCTGAAAAACGTTTCTTAGATGTGGAATAACTAGGTGGTGGACAATAACTGTCCTTAAAGGGATATTTCACCTAAAATTAAAATTTTGTCTGCTGACATATTTCCCAGTGTTAAATAAGTGGGACAAAAACAACTTTTAACCAGCCCAGTCATTCTCTTGACCAGGCTGGTCTCCTTTAGCTTTAGCTTTAGCATAAAACACAGTAAGTGAATGAATCCAACTAGCATTGTGAGTAAAAAGTCCTTAAAACCATTCAGTAGTGATCCCAATTCTGCTTGGTGACCTAAATGATCAGATCGACTCCAAGTGAATATATTTAGTAAAAATTTGCAGTGCAGCTCCAAGTTTTCTTTGAGTATAAACGTGTTTAACAACAAGACCTCTGTTTAAATTTAATTTTTACTAATTGGTTTCATTTGGAGTCAGTCCCAAAAAGAAAACCACAATTTGAAGTCTGGGACAATAAAAGACGTTTGGACCTAAAAAAACGAAGAATGGTGTTTTGCGCTCCCTTGTTTCCTCTGGCAATGTGGGTTTCCGGTTCAGGTGTACGTGGCCGATGAGAGGGGTGAGTGTGTGTGAAAAACCTGTTCAGCAGGTCTTCAAGCTCTGGAGAAGCCAGTTAATCACCTACTGATTCAAATCAAGTGTTTTGGAGTAAAGAAACCTAAAATATACAGGACAGGGCCTCTAGATGACTAGGGTTGGACACTTCTGCTCTAAACTCTCTGCACTGGAAAAGCAAAAAACAGTTTCACATCCTCTTGGGAATGAGCTTGAAAAATGCAAAAAGAATGAATGATGGAGATGGAGTAAAGTGATGTAAAGCTTGGTGATGGAAGGGTCCTTAAATAAGAAAAAGTCTGAGATAATCTAATTTAACCTTTCCTTATGAGAATTATTGAGAGTTATCTTTACTGGCAGGCCATAATGTTTTTGCCTATGTATGTACGTATCTCACAGGGCCATTTCCAAAGAAACTGCATTTATAATGTTGGTCTTTTTCTTTTGGTAAAGACCCGTCTTTCAAATCAACAATCTTCACTCTCCAAAACACGGACATTCCTGTCCTCAGACGACTGCCCCTTATCCTTAAGATGTAAGCAGATTGCTGGACATCAGAGACCCTAATAACCCCCATTAGAAGGGATCAGGGGAGTGATTTGTAAACTAGCTAGCATAAACAAAGCTCTCGCTACCATTTAAAAGCTTGCAACTCTTCATATGTGTGTGTCAGTTTGAAGCAAAACTCTGCAGCTAAGTCAACGACTTTCAAGATGGCTCCTGCAGCTAATCGACCTTAGCAAACACAAAGATGGCACTAACTCAGACATAAACTGAGAAACACTGGATCGTGTAAGGTCTTGGGATAGAAGCACGCATTTCTACAAGGAAATTTAACATTTGGAGTTACCGTAGCAGTACTGACACAGTACACAGTTTCAGAAGTGTTAGAGAATCAGTTTTAACAGTGATGTTAGTTTGCAGACTTGAAAAAGGCAGAAGGCAAGCAGAAGTCTAATTGTAGCTGCACACATTAGTGTTTGTACCTTTTTTGGGGGGATATATTAGCTGTCCTTCTCATGAAACACCCCCAGAAGAGAAGACAAAGAGAAAGGACAGAGAGATCAGTGGATGGCTGGAGAATGAGAGATGACGTGGAAGAAAGAAGGTGGAAAAAAGAAGAAGCACAACAAAAGTAAAGGAAAGCAATGCCTTGAGCATAAAACTCTGGAAAACATAAAAATGTAGAAATTAAATGAGTAAACCAGAGGAGTGAGAATATCACAGCATAGAGGAAGAGAGATAGAGAAGATCAAAGAAAGAAGTGAAAATGTAGCAAGGCTTGAAAGATCAATGTAACTGGAAACCATGGCAACAATAGCAGGTAAAGAGCAATGGATTATCAGAGATGATGAGGGAAAGGATGTGGTGAGTCAGGAAAGGAAATTATGAAACTACTCAAAGGTCAAGAGTCAAAACTAGAGCTGCACGGTACCAGCAGTAAACCCACACTTTCACCCATTCTCTAATCCTCCACTAGCCTCATGTTTCTCACACCACTCAACACTCGGGCATCAGAATCTATGACTTTCTGACTGTGATTTATGCAGTTTCTAGATATTACAACACTAGTTACTATGTGGTGCAGCCCGAGCTAATTTAAATAGTCAAACCAGTAGTGATGGTGGCAAAAAGGGAAGTAGAAAAGCAGCAGATAGTAAACACACAGCAGAGACTGAGCTGATGAGGGGACGACTTGTAATAGGAGATGAGGATTAGTCTGTTTCTTATCTGATCCTAAATGTCTGAAACAACTTTAATTTAACTGGAATTGTATTTTGACATAATAGAAAAGTCAAAACCTGAACATTTCATCCTACTGACACACCAAATCGCACCATTGTGTCAATGTTTGATGAAGAAACATTTAGTGTTTAACCCTCTGGAGGCAGATTTGCAACGTTAAGACCAACCTAGCTGGTTACTCCACATACGTATTTCATGAGCATTTTTTAACTCAGAAGTAACCCTCAAGGACTTAGTTGTTCGTCCTTTTATCAAAACTTATTTTGAGCCTGAGAGGGTTAAAAACCTCGCCCCACACGTGTGAAAGAGACAAACTGTGTGAGGAGGAGGAAGGACCAGTGAGATCATTTCCTGTTTGCCAGCAAGAGGAACACCAACCATCATACTTAGATAAACCTCTGTAATCAAACCTGTCTCTGTCGTACAATAATGAAAACATGAAACATCTTCAGACGTACTCTTACTCTACCTGAGTCTTGTAAGAGGTTTTAAATTTGGGATAAAGTTAAATTATTTAAAGTTTAATGTCTGTTGTTCAAAGGACCTTAGTGTTCAAATAACTAAATGGAAGGAGGTCTCGCTCTAGTGGAGCTAAAGGGAACTACACCCAACTGGAGGACTCACCGTCCAGCTCTTCATCAGTCGTCAGCTCATCGTTGGAACAAATGCTCAGAACGTTCACAAGCATCTCTGTCACTGCACAGAAAGAAAAAAAATGGAATTTTATTTTGATACATAAAAATCATCAAAATTAAAACAAACACACACACACACACACACACACACACACACACACACACACACACACACACACACACACACACACACACACACACACACACACACACACACACACACACACACACACACAATCAGGATAAAGTGAGCAAAGATGAATAATTTCTTTTTTTTTTTTTTTTCCTGTATTTATTACTAGATAGAAGTACTTGAGTCCTTCGATGGTGTATGGCGGACTGACCTGTTGACAAATTTTCTTTGCTATGACATTACATCACATTGCTATTTGGTCCTACTGCTGCCCAATTGCATGCAGAGACGGTCTCAAAGACAGTCGTAATTTCCGCCTAACCCTAACTTCTAGCAAAGCTACCACGTCTCACCAATCAAATGTGATTACAATAGCACAAAATATCAGAATTGCAAAGCCTTACAATAAATTGCAGACTTGAACTGCATGCAAAATTATAATTGACCCAAAATAAGTGAACCCTGACTTAGCAAGTACAAATTGTCTTTTTTTTTTTTTTACCGTGTCCTGTCTGGCTGTGAAACAAACAGAATTAATGTCTGAATGCTGGCAACACGCCTTACAGATTTACTCTCAGGTGGAGCATCAAAGCTTCTGCTTTTAATGTCACGCCTGACACTTAAAACTTTATTGTTATTGTTTTTTGAATGCTTGTAATTCCGACCAGACATGGAGACAGAGGTGAAAGAGAAAAGAAGAGACAAAAGGAAGGGGGGGTCCACAAAAACAATCAATGATGAACAAGAGTCTGCTTCTAGACCTGCATAAGGAGAGAAAAAAAAAAGAAAAGGGACACAGCAATAGAACAGGAGCAAGCTATCACTGCGTCAACCTGATGAGGAAATATAAAATCAACAGTTTTACTGAACAATCACGATATTAAATAACAATGCATTAAGTGCCAACCACAGCCGACGTGTGTTGAACGTGCCCAAGTCCATACTTGTGAGAGCACCATGTGAGCACCTGTGTGCGTACTCACGCTTGTATATGTAATGTTTCTCTATAGGAGCGTCCAATAGAGAGAGTGAGGAGCCAGAGATCTGCCCCCCAAAGATGCCTAGGAGTTGGAAGGAGCTCCAAGTCTCAGAGAGTCAGGAGCTGCCCCAGAGCACAGGGACCCCAGGGAGACTGCGACCAGAAATGCCCCTGCCCCCCTCAAGAGGCGTAGAGGATTGCCCCGGGGGGCCAAAACCAGCAGCCGGCAGAGTCCTGGGGGATATCAGCGGGGAGCCCACAGGCCCGCCCGCAGCCTCCCAACCCCAAGCCAGCCGAGCCCGGAACCCAGCGACCCGGGATCCAGGGGCGACCAGCCCCGCCGGGGACCCAACAAAGCCCAGGGACCCAGATCCCATCAGGCAGCTGCCGGGATTAGATGCTAAAAATCTTAAACCCCCTGACCCGGGAGCCGTGAACACTCGGGCAGACCAAGACACCACACTCCACACCAAGTGTGACGGGAGAGGGTAGGCGAAGATGTGTAGCAGCAAAAGAAGTTCCAGGAGAGGGGAGGAGTCAAAGGCCCCACCTGACATATACAGTCATACACAAACACAGTCACACACTCCCTCCCTCATGCTCACACATACACATACAACCTAAGACTTACAAAAATGCACCCCAGACACCCACTCATACTTCCCATACACAGCGCATCTGCAGGCTTGAGATTTCTCCGTCAAAATAAATACGGGAAACATCGGGTCAGTGCGAACCCTGTCATTTAACCGTTTTACCTTCTAGTGAAGATTGTTGCAAACAGAAACATTAAACCTGATGAACACCCGAGCCACCACACTGCGCCGTTATCTCAGTCAGTGTAAACGAGGAAAAAAAAAAACTAATTGCCTTTTCTTACCTTTTCAACAATGTTTAATACAAAGTTTAGTTCAGTACAAAGTTGAATTACAACAGTCCAACGAGACAGAGCCTGGATTTGTATTCTGAACAGTTATGTGTGATGCCTCAAAAAGCGTCACCTACTCAACTATTAAAACCACTAGCAGGGTGAAAAAATCAAAATATTGTAGCACAGACGGGCTACAACTTTTGGATCAATTTTAAACAAACTGTTTTATTAATTATCTTCTGTTGAAAGATAACTTTGAGGTACATGAGCGACTGGTATTGGTTGCTGTCACCTGTTGTGATCGGTTAAAGCAGCTCTCTGCTGTCAGAGGGTAGGCCCCGCCCACAACGCTGCGGCTCCCAGTGTTTTCTTTACTGTGGGAAATGGGTAATAATGGCTCTTTGATGGGGAAAGGTTGCCGACCCCTGTGTTAGGTTGACTAGTGACCCTAAATTGTCTCTAAGTGTGAGTGAGTGTGTGACAGGCTGTGTGCCAGTCCCTGTGATGGATTGGAGACCTGACCAGTGTGTCACATGCCTCTTTCCCAATAACCACCTCCCATGACATTACTAAGGACAAAGTGGTTTATATGACAGATGGACAATGTTGCTCAATTGTAGATACACATTTAAGGACTGTGATCTCAGACTTTCGTTAAAATAAAGCTAGTAGTTCATGAAAGATATGGCTAATGAACAAACGCACGCATGCACAAATATTACCACCCAGACACAGATCATTATAATTATTATTATCACTACTACGTGTTTGCATACTCACCTTTCTCACCAACAAAGGGCAAAGACCAGGTGAACACATCCATGAAGTTGGGCAGCCAGTAAGGGTGAGGTGAGCAATTGAACTGTCGGATGTTCATCACGTTGTTCTCATACTTCAGCACGGCCGCTGTGGGTGGACACACATGAAATCATCATACAATAAACCGGTTATTTAGTAAGTAAATACTGATTTGTTATCTCAAGGTGTTCTGTGGGAACTTGACTAAAATATTATTAAAGGACTTTATTTAATGAGGAAAAAAAGGTGTGAAGCGACCAGATCTGTCACCCACATTGAGCGTGTGTCTGGATGCAGCTCAAGCTTTTGTCAATCAAACCTCTGCTGATGACCCAACCACCAAAAAAAACAAAAAATAAAAAAAATATCAGATCTTTTAACACTCTTTCTGCCAATCTCTCACTCTGACAGAAATAATTCATGTGCAAAAATCACAACATGAGTTGTGAAAAAAGTATAAAAAATAAGGTTTAATTAGGTTGTTGAATTAAATTAACAAATTAATTTTTTAAGCTTCATATTATCTGCCCAGATCTTTAAGTGTTTTAATGACTATGTAACAACAAGGCCGTGTATGTGGGCATGTGTACTTGTCTTTATATATTTAAGTGGACAAATTTAGATTTTTAACCTGTAATGTGTGGACATCTGGCAAGTCCACACAGTGCTAAACACCCTAAAACTTGGTTTTCGAAGCATGGTGTGAATTAACTCTTGGTTTGGGTTAGAGTTACGAATAGAACAGCACTGGTTAGCGTATGGGTTAGGCATAGTGGAGTCACTAAAATGAATGGAAGTCAATTGAGGATCCACACAAGGATACAAATACGTGTGTGTGTGTGTTTGGGGGGGGGCAGAAATCAACATTGAAATAGAATAAAAAATTCAAAATAAGATATTAGATTTTTCATAGATGCTAGAATATTCCAACAAAAATTCAGGGAAGGAAGAAACACCAACAGGACTTCCCCTAATACCTTATTTGTTTTTCCTTTTACTTCCTGTTTAAAAAGGTTATCTTCTGTATGTTTATAACCCTGTTCAGAGGCCTTTGCATAATTAGCAGTCAAACAATGGCAGAAAAGGGAAAAAGCAGTCGTCTCCACACTCACTCCCATTTCCAGACTAACTGATCGTTATAGGCATGATTCTGATTAGTTGAACCTGAATGCCAAATGAAAGGTAAACTCCTCAATGCACGCCTCTGTTTTCAAGCAAATAAGTAGAAAATGTATTTTGATGTGTGATGTTTGGACCTGACAACACAAGAATGAGCTGCATAGTCTGCAGCTTCTTGAAGAAGTCTATTTGTGTTATTATAGGGAGAACAGGAAGTAATGTATTCCACCTAGAAGGCAGAAGAGGAAATTGAAACAAAACAATCTGCATTTAATATTTAAAGTGCCTGATCATCACAAAATCATTCTAAAATTGATTAAGAATAAAATAAATTAGCAGAAAATAAGATTTAAAGGGGCCATATAATGTAAAATCTACTTTTTGGAGCTTGTGATATCATTTCCTCATGAAAAAAAATACCCCAAACCCATTTTTGGCTGCATTTATGAAAAATCCTGTGAGGCGTCAATGGAAACTAATCTCGTCATTAGACCCTGCACCTCTCCTGGAAGATGGTCTCTGATCTGAAACCTGCACCCTCTGATCAGCCCAGGATATGGGGCTTAGACGACTGCTGTCATGTAACAGACTTCGTAGTCTAGTCTTGCGCTGGGCTGGCATGCAGTTTTGTGCAAGTTCACATGCTGGTCTAAGCAGTAACCTTTTATCAGTAACCTTTTATCTTCTTTTTTAGCTACACTTGCCGGTATTGTTTTCAAACATTTATTGGTAAACTGTTTAAAATATAAGGACTAATCTGTTTTTTAAATTACTTTATTTATCCAGTGTGAGTCCATGTGAGGTGAGCTGAGTAAATTAACTAAAATGCTGCTTGGAAATGACCAAATTCAAAGATCTTTAACACAAAATATTTTGCTGAAATTAATCAATAAAATCTAAAACATAAAAACATTAGCCTGGCCTGCCAGACTCCTCCTCTGTTTAATTCTGCACAGAGAAAGGGTCTGGGAACTCTCCTATTCAAATAACCCCACCCCCTGAGAATTCGAACCGAGCCAATCAGCGCTGAGTAGCGTACGTCACACACCACAACGCCGAGTTTGTCATAAACATGGTGACTGAAGTGGAGTTCGCTGCGGCTCTTTCCACTGTTCTAAATGATTTGAACATGTCTTTAAAACCACATGTAGAAGCGTTAAAAGCCTTTCTTCTAACAAAGATGTTTGCGCTGTCGCCAGACTCCATTTGTACTACAGCTAAAAAAAAAAAACTACAGCGTCGCGGACGTCACACACAGTGACGCTCAGTTTCGCATAAACAACGAAGACAGCGGCGAAGTTTGCTGCGACTCTTTCCTCTGTTCTAAATGACTCAATTGTCTTTAAAACCACAAGTAGAAGCACTAAAAGCATTTCTTCTAAAAAAAAAAAAATGTTTGCACCGTTGCCAGACACAATTTTTTTTTTAACTAAAATTAGAAATCTACTGTGTCGTGTGGTACAGCCGGGATTTCTGTCCTTTTGCTGATTGGTCATTTTTGAGCTGCCTAGTCCCGCCCCTCAAGTGCCTCTCTGCCTATTAGACTCATTCTCTGTGCAGAATTAAACAGACGAATCTGGCAGGTCAGGCTATAAAAACATGAAATCTGCTTCAGCTGGCTAAATAAATGACTTTGAACCCACGTTAGCACATGGCAAAACTGAGACAGCAGACAGACATCTTAACCAATGGACAGCAGCCGACTCGCCCCAAGATGCTTTGGAGGCACATTTTGTCGGAGCGGGCGTGGGCGGAGCTTCACTGAAACAAAGAGTTTTATTTCTAGATATAAATGTAGGCTGATATAAATAATGTGCCTACCTTTGCTCTCCATTTGTTTAAAATAACATTATCTGGTTCCTTTAAAATATATATTATAATAAATTTATATCAGTAATAAATACAATTATTAAAAAACACACACAAAAAAGGAATATTATTACAATAATCATCATAAAAATTTTGAATAAATCAATCAACAAACAAATACAAATAAATAGAGATATTTATCTTTTTCTGTCAGTTAGTTCCATATGTAAAACAAACATGTAACTTTTTTAATGTTTAAAGTTTCTCATCAGAACTTTGGGACTTTTTTGGTCTTAATAAACGAACAAAAACATGTTCAATATCTTTACTATAAATGGTTGAAAATTAAGCTTGAGTTGTAAGACTTGAAAGACCTTCAAAAGGACCAACGGACCTTTGATTAAGTCTACTTTTCAGGATTCCAAGATTATCCAGGAAGTAAATATTTACCAGTAGTTTAGGAGTTGCCTCAAGAGGATTTCTGTGCACCACTGACCATAGTGGACCTCATGTGACCTCAGCCATGATTAAGACACTGAGCGAACATGGGCGTAGAGGCAAACATAAATATATCTGAGCTGAATATAGAAGGGACAGCCTCTCCGCTGCACAAGGCCAGTCTGAGGAAAGAGAACACCGGTCACCACGGGGGACTTTCCTGCTCCGGGATCAGTAGCAACATACTGGAAGCTCAGGTGCAACATGGCTCAGGCCAGACTTTAGCTAAGCCTCACTGTGTTGTTCAGAGTGTGGTAACTACTTCCTACTTCTGTGCAGGGAATGACAACACAAACCCAAAACGTCTCCCCTGGAACATCCAGAAACTCCCAAAATGTAAAAAAAAAAAAGAAAAAAAAGCATTGATTACTCCAAAGTAGTTCTCTCAAATGAAGATGTGGGTGTGTAACCGTGTGTTGGTGTGTAATTGTGTGCGTTGGCGTGCATAAATGCAGGAGCACACGTGGGCAGCCGTTGCATAAACATTACATACTGCAGAAACATCATTTGACTGAACGTAGCCATGGAAGCCCAGAGGGAAAAAGCAGGGAGCGGGGGAGAAGGTCAGCTCCCCTGCTGTCGCTCCTTCAAACCACATTCCTTGTAACGGAACAGGGGGGTGCACACTCTTTTTAGAAGGGATTACTGAGAAAAGGCGATTTCAACATCCTTCTTTTTTCATTTTTCACTCCACAGGGTTCCGTTCTCACCTCCTTAAACCACAGCCACCAGAGGGCTCTCCTGCTGGCAGGTACGCTGGCTCCAAGCTCTCTCTCTCTCTCTCTCTCTCTCTCTCTCTCTCTCTCTCTCTCTCTCTCTCTCTCTCTCTCTCTCTCTCTCTCTCTCTCTCTCTCTCTCTCTCTCTCTCTCCTCTCTCTCTCTCTCTCTCTCTCCTCTCACTCTCTCTCTCTCTCATCTCTCTCTCTCTCTCTCTCTCTCTCTCTCTCTCTCTCTCTCTCTCTCTCTCCTCTCTCCTCTCTCTCTCTCTCTCACACACTCACACACACACACACACACACACCTTGTAAGGTGACACCCACTCATTAATTATTCATTAGGGAGTGCTCTAGCCGGTTCCTGGTAACAAGCGTCTGCTTTGAGACCACTGGAGATTCCCCGTCTTTCCCAATGCTAAATGCTGCCCCAACGTCTGTCTCCAATTCCTCTGGAATAAAGTTTCACTTGGGATGTTTTCAAAAGCCTTCATTACGTTCAGGACTCAGCTTCTAGATGATCTAAGAACCTGGATGGTTCTCTTGTTCTCTCTCCCTTCTTCCATCTCAGGAACATTGCTAAGCTGAGTCCCATTCTGTCCCGCTCTGAACTTGAGACAGTTCTCCACACCTCATCTCCTCACGCTTAGACTACTGTAACTCTCTTTTCACGTGTCTGAGCAGAACCTCCCTGAAACCGTCTACAGGTGGTTCAGAATGCCTGTGCTCGGATTCTGACCAAGTCCTCCAAACACACCCACATCACCCCGCTTCTCCTCCAGCTTCACTGGCTGCCAGTCAACTTCAGGGTTCATTTCAAGATCCTGGTTCTGGTCTATAGGGCCTTACATGGACAAGCACCCTTCTTACATTGGTGATCTTCTTAGTCCCTACACCCCCAGCAGGTCCCTGAGGTCCAGTGATCAAAGCCTACTGGTTGTGCAGCACCAGGCTAAAGACCAAAGGTGA